AAGCTTGAGTTTCATGAGTTCCAAATCAGCATAGAATGATTTCTGAAGGATCAGGTGGCACAGAGTAATGACTGCTGAAAAAACAGTAGCATTTAAAAGTATTTATATATATAAAAAAAAAAACCTTTAAACATGTTGCAAGCACCACTAATTAAGCTCCTTATAATTCACTATGACAAAGTTTCTTGTCTAGGTCTGTATAAAGTAGTTTGACCAGAGATCCTATGCAAATCCGTCCCGCGCAACAGCTGAAGGGGCCATAAAATAACCCTTTCTCCAACCCCAATTTTCTCTCTCTCTCACACACACACACACACACACACACACACAATGTGCCTTTGGAATACACGTAAACACACACTTCATCAAGCTGATTAATAACCACCCAATCAAGGCAAGGTACCAATCTAATTTTTCATAATCATGCCAGCATATGATCCCAGATTCATTTTTGTACAAGCACCTGAGTCATGTCCACATGCTCCTGTTTATTACGTTTTAATGCAACCATAATGACTGCCCTGCTGTTCCCATTGATCAAGATATGCCATACTGAGAAACCACGGAGCCTGGGTCGTTTTTCAATATTACTTACTTAATATTACCAGGTTGAGCACAACATGATAGTCTGCTGTAATGGTATGATAGTACTTATACTCTGCATTACCAGAGGGAGGCTAATGTTGAGGAATTTAGACCTATTCAAGGCACAAAGAGGGGTTTGTGTAAAGAAGCTGTGAAGAACTATGATTCATGTGACTCTGTGTGACTTTGCTCTGATAGAAGGAGAACCTCTGTAGAGGCCACCAAACAAAGCTAAGAGCAATTGTGAAAAGCAATCTAACACAGACAAGGGATATTGGGAAATGTGTCTGGATACAGCTGCAAGCTTTGACCTTGGACTAGTGGGAATACATCTATGTATTTGTGTGTATGTCTCAAAGCCATCCAAGTTATTTTACCTCAATGCATTGGATTAGCATTTATATATTCCTGTAGGCTGATTTGGATGGACATTAACAAGCAAATCAAGCAAAAATAGTTTCTGCAAAAAATAATTTGGTGGTGAAATCCTCATCATATTTGAGATAAATGTTACAGAACACACAATTTCACACATGTCCATCATATGGTGACGGTCTCTGTGGGTGGGAGATTTGAAACTAGCACAACTTCCATCCCTTTATGGCACAGTTGTCATTATCATTTCACTTTATTTTTAGATACATCCAGAATATGAACATACCGAAGTAGAGAGGCAGAAGGATGTACCCAATAATAATGATTGTTAGGACAAAATGCAAAAAAAAAAAAAAAAAAAAATAGTATAATACATTGTTGTCACAAGACCATATCATGATTAATAACCTATTATATCACTAGATTTCTTTTTGGTATCTGCTATTTGGTAGATATCTGGCCAATACCGAAAAGTCGATAATTGTTGTGGTCAACAACAGATAAATGTCTGAAAGTAACATTTTATAATAAATAAATTAAAATACTAAAAACTAAAATTAATTGTTGTTGTTTTTTTTTATTTAAAGTGTAGGTGAATTTAGACATAACATTATAAAGTACAATGGATATTTATTATACATTTAACAGTTATAAAAAGTATAGTGTTTGTAATGATTAACTTTAACCCCTTACCCCTCGCCCAACGTTTTGGCAATCGAGTGCAAAATGACATACCCATAATAAAATGGTTGTTGCTAACTAGTCCTGACTACACACAAAACCAAGGTATCATTTAAAAGCTGACACTTGACAGTTTACTATGAAAGACTTAAAATTGCTCTGAGCAATTACTAATAGAGAGATAAATAAGCTCAAAAACAATGGACGAGAATTTGTTTTTGTATAATAAATATTTATGAAAAAGAAAAATGCTTAAGGCAAAAATATACGGGCCTGGACTGTGAGTGACAGTGACTGTGAGATGATGCCAAGGTAATATACACGTAAACACTGGGAAAATGAGAATTAATTAAATATCCAATATCAAATCAATACAAAATCTTTTTTTAAATCTCTTATATCAGCCAATAACCAATTTGATATTTATTTATTGTGCATACATGATCCTCTTTAAAATGTACTTCTTTTAATTCCATTTTGTGAAGAAAAAAACTAATTATAGTCATAGCTAAATTAAGTTTTGGTAATCTGGAAAAAAAACATATATACAAAGAAGATTATAAAATTCACAAGGGAAGTTCAAGGTAAATGCATTGGATTGTGGGATATAGTATTGAGCACAGTTTACACTGTTGTAAACTGAACATTTTGGCAATGTGGTAGGTCACTCTGATATTCTATGCATACAGAAAATGTACATACTGTGCAGAGTGAGCATACTATACACTGACCTAAAGGATTATTAGTAACACCATACTAATACTGTGTTTGACCCCCTTTCGCCTTCAGAACTGCCTTAATTCTACGTGGCATTGATTCAACAAGGTGCTGAAAGCATTCTTTAGCAATGTTGGCCCATATTGATAGGATAGCATCTTGCAGTTGATGGAGATTTGTGGGATGCACATCCAGGGCACGAAGCACCCGTTCCACCACATCCCAAAGATGCTCTATTGGGTTGAGATATGGTGACTGTGGGGGCCATTTTAGTACAGTGAACTCATTGTCATGTTCAAGAAACCAATTTGAAATGATTCGAGCTTTGTGACATGGTGCATTATCATGCTGGAAGTAACCATCAGATGATGGGTACATGGTGGCCATAAAGGGATGGACATGGTCAGAAACAATGCTCAGGTAGGCCGTGGCATTTAAACGATGCCCAATTGGCACTAAGGGGCCTAAAGTGTGCCAAGAAAACATCCCCCACACCATTACACCACCAGCCTGCACAGTGGTAACAAGGCATGACGGATCCATGTTCTCATTCTGTATACGCCAAATTCTGACTCTACCATCTGAATGTCTCAACAGAAATCGAGACTCATCAGACCAGGCAACATTTTTCCAGTCTTCAACTGTCCAATTTTGGTGAGCTCTTGCAAATTGTAGCCTCTTTTTCCTATTTGTAGTGGAGATGAGTGGTACCCGGTGGGGTCTTCTGCTGTTGTAGCCCATCTGCCTCAAGGTTGTGCGTGTTGTAGCTTCATAAATGCTTTGCTGCATACCTCGGTTGTAACGAGTGGTTATTTCAGTCAAAGTTGCTCTTCTATCAGCTTGAATCAGGCGGCCCATTCTCCTCTGGGCGAAAATGCCTTGTTGATGCTAGAGGTCACAGGACTGCCGCATACTGGATGGTTTTCCTTTTCACACCATTCTTTGTAAACCCTAGAAATGGTTGTGCGTAAAAATCCCAGTAACTGAGCAGATTGTGAAATACTCAGACTGGCCCGTCTGGCACCAACAACCATGCCACGCTCAAAATTGCTTAAATCACCTTTCTTTCCGATTCTGACATTCAGGTTGGAGTTCAGAAGATTGTCTTGACCAGGACCACACCCCTAAATGCATTGAAGCAACTGCCATGTGATTGGTTGATTAGATAATTGCATTAATGAGAAATTGAACAGGTGTTCCTAAAAATCCTTTAGGTGAGTGTATGTCATTGTAGTATACATTTCCAAACATAGCCTACGTCTCCCTCCTCCCTTCCTGACCAGGATACTGTAGCCAGAGGAAAAAAAAACAGCCAAATCACAGTAGATCTGATCTTGTGATCATTGAACTGGAAGCTCCACTATACTTCGGATATTGGCAAAGAAAGAAAAGTGAGCCAGAAACTGCCCCTGATGCAGTAATGAAGTAACAACTGAATCAGAGCACAAAGAATGGGTAAAAATGTGATTTGCTCATGATCTGAGTGGACAATACAAATTACTAGTACACAAGTGAGGAGTATGCCGAGGAGAGTGAGCATTACTGCTGCCAATTAGCAGCTGGAGCCTAATTCAGCCAAAGGCAAAATCACATCACATGGCCAGAGAGAAAGGCTCAGCCCACAGCTTAAAATAACAATTATTGAGATTGCCAAACAGCCACAGGCGATCCTTGGTAGAAAAACAAACAAAAAAGAACTGGATGCATGCAAATAAAAGTCAAAACTCCACTAGCATTATTGTGGTTTATGTGCATGACAAATAGGTTTAAACAACAAAGAAGACTGTTATAAGGATATATGCAGTAATCTGAGTATTTACACCTGGTTTTGAAAGTAGAAGCCTAAAGGGTGAATTCCAAATGACGTTAATCAATCCTATATTAAATAAATGAGCAATAATGCATGCAGAAGAATTATTTGCCAACAAACACTGCTATAAGCTTCACTTTTCCTGTTACTTTATCAAGAAAACATTTTGATTCAAAATAAAGTGCTCTCATTAAAGAGCAACTTGCTGCTATTTATTTATTTGTTTGAAATGACTGACTATTCACTTGAATAATTACTTGAAAACCCTTGACGTAATGCTTGCTAAATGAAGAAATAATTCAAGGCTACATAACACTGCTCTAATGTATTAGTTCATATTTATATTTACACTACCGTTCAAAAGTTTGGTGAGATAATAATTTAAAGTTTTAAAAAAAAAAGAAAATGAATGTTCAGCTTCATAACTTCAGTCTTCAGTGTCACATGATCCTTCAGAAATCATTCTAATACTATGATATGGTGCATAAGAAACATTTCTTATTATTATTAATGTTCAAAACACAACGCATTGAAAGTTTAAAAGAACAGCATTTATTTGACATTTTTTACTGTAACATTTGATAAATGTAATGATTTTTTACTGAATAAAAGTATAATTTTTTAAAATAAAAATATCATACTGACCTTTTCTATGTACTTTAGTACTTATTTAATTTAGTACTTAGTTACTTAAAGTTTCTATGGCACTGAACTTATTATAGCGGTATGGTGATGCTCACTTACAAATGAAATTCCCCTATAGGTTTACATGTTTATTAGAATTAAAAATAACCAGAATCAACATTATAAAAACGCATGCACAAACACTCACTGTACTCACTGCAGGTGGAGTCTGCTTCATCCGAACCATCTGGACACTCCGGTTCTCCATCACACCTCCATCGAGCCGGGACACACTGCCCATTCTTACAAGCAAAGTCTGTCGTAGCACATGTCTTTTTTGCTGTTCAAGAAAAGAGAGGAAGGTAAGTACAGGGGCATTTACATTAACACAAGAGGTTTTGGTGCAAACCAAATTTAAAGTTTAGTTCAGATGTACCTGCTTTTTCATATGTCAAGCTTAAGTGGAAGGTGGAATTACTTCAACAACAATGAAACAAACCTCCACGCTACTAAATCTAGTCTGCAGGAGACGGCAAGAAAATTGGATCACTTGAGAAACAATGGTAGACTCGCACTTGATAACAACGGTTCTGGTTCAGAAATAAAGTCTTGAGCAGTAAAAGACTCATGCTTTAGAGTCAAACAACAAAAAGCAAGCACTATGAGGCTAAGTGCACTGTGTGTCTCTGTCATTTCTTCCTGTCGTGTTTATAGTTTAATTGGGAAGAGAGTTTGAATGAATTGAACACAGAGCTCCATTGGGAGCAATTACAAACACCCAGGTACACATCACTGTGAATTTATGAACCTTACTTTCGTTTTTGTATGCGTGAGGATAAAGACTGCCTTGCTTTAAGTCCAGTAAATTTGTAGCAGGGGTAAAGGAGCCTGAAGGGAGAGCAATTGATGATGTTGTCAGCTCTCTGGGAGGGAGACCAATAAGAGCTTTTTCAGTCAGAGAGGACACAGTGATTTAACACATGTTCGGCTTTTATCACGTCCATCAATTGAACACATGTAAACGCCTGGTCTGGGTGTACTATTCTTGTATGCCAAATATTAGTTCTGTTTTTTTCCTTGCAATCAATATGCCTACAGTAAATCAATAAGCTGGACCATCATACTCACATGCCATGGAGGTTACAGAATGGAGCCAAACTATGAAAAATATTATTTGTGCTATCAGATAAAAAGGAGATATGAAAGTTATTTAAGAGGCTGAGCAAGTTATTTCCTCCTGATAAAAATGTGCACCAAATCGACTGTGCACAATAGGGCCAAGAAAGGGCATTAGCAACATAAATATGGTCAATTACAGTACATTGACTTTTCAAATGTTAACAGACAAACACATATACAAAAAAGTCGAATAGTGTATACTTGCATACAAATCTAATATAAAACAGCTTTGTTATTGTTTAATTGAAAAAAAAAAGTTAATTGAAAAAAGAACTGTAAATATTAGATGAAGTACTAAAATTAATCAAACAAAAAATTTAGACTGAATAAAAATCACACAAAAATGACTAAAGCACACAAAATTACTAAAATTAAAATGGAAAACAAAAATATATAAATAAAAGCTAATTCAATATATTTATAAATACCATAATAGTGTATAAATACTAAAGAACCACAGATAAAAAAATAATAATATAGGGACCCTTAAAAGTCAAACAGATAAAAGGGCGAAAATCATGAAACCAACCAAAAGAGAGCAGAAAATGGTCCAACAGTCACTGAGTTGCAACAGATCCGAAAGAAAGAGATATTCTGTGAATTTCTTCTCTGCAACAGTGATCAAATCCCAGGCCCTTGCCTCCCATCAGAACAAGAGGATTTCAACTAAGTCTCCCCTATCTCCCCAGCCAAGCTACCTTACACTGAAACAAGCATAGAGATTTACACATCACCGGGCCATGTTCCCCAGCCCCTTATCTTCCTCTGGAACCAGAGCCACTACGTTATGGGTTGAACACCTCTGAAGACTACAGAGAGAGGTGGTTAGTGAGCCATGAGCAGCACTTAATTACCAAAGATCCTTCACTAGCCTTATCTCAAGGACAAAGCTTGACCTTGTCACACCTTTCATTCCTTTCAAGCTGAACATAATATTAATTTTCTTGAAAAGTGAGGTGTGTAATTTTGTTCAATGTTAAAGTAAGCCAGTCGTAGGTTGACTCCACAAAATACTATGGAAATTTTGGCTGATATACCAATAACTATATATAATTCACAATGTTCTGGATTCTGTTTTAATGGTTTAATTAAAATATGTTTTATTTGACAAGTTTATTTTGAAACTTGAGGTTTACTGTTTAAATTAAAACATGCATGAATGTGTGATATTCATAAAAAATCATGTTTTAATAAACTATTATTATTACTTTGAGAAGTACTGTACAATAGTAACGATTTTCATAATTTCATCAAGGTAAACAAAACCAAATATTTAATATTCACAGGTCACTAGGCCACGATTTGAACAAGTGTACAGTCCTATATTTCTGATTTATTCATCCAAATTTTACTAAAATTCTGTGACATTTCACGTTACAGTAAATTCCATTATTATGACTGGATTCCACAATTTCTGCATTTTCGCCCAAAATCATAGGGCCCCAATTATATTCTATTAATTATATTCTATTATTTGTAAAGTAGAAAACAGTCTTTCTTATCCCACAAACACAAAATGTAGACCTACTGTGAATCATTGAAATAAATAAATTATAAATGCCTACAGCCAACATCCTATAAAAGTGAAATGGAAAACAAACAAAGAAATCATAGGCTCGACTAAACTTCTTTCTTATAAAAATATAAAATAATTTTCTTATAAGAAAATGTTATTATAAAAATCTAAATAAATAAATAAATAGATGAAGTACAGTAGTCAACATTTGAAGTGTATCATCAAAACCTTTCATCAAAGTTATACATGAATTTTGAACAAAACCTGTTCTTGTCTTAGGACAACTTTGATTAACTTTTTGATCCACTTCAAATGTTGACTACTGTATATTTTAAAATATTATTGGTCCAAACAGCAGCAGAAGCAACGGTTGGACTCTTTGGGAAACTGTTTAAAACACATAAAACATTATTTTACTAGTGCCACTAGACGCACAGAAATACAGTACCATAAGACAATTGCATTCAGTCAATAAACATTGCCTCACTGTAATATGCTTACAATTATCCAAAGCAGCAAAACTGCCAGATGTTGCTGACTTGGAGGGTGAAATGGAGCTGATGTGTGACTTGGGGGGTCCGTTGCTTTGGGTCAAGAAAACTGGCGAGTTCAAGTGTTGGTTTTACTAATTTCCCTGCAGGACTGTCAACGTAGGCAGGCAGCATCAAGCACCCACTCATGGGAAAAGCTGATTCAAAGATGGTATGTAATACAAGCAGAAAATACTTCATTATGCAGATACTCACACTAGGCACACATACATAATCAAAGACTGAATGTAAATTCCCATGATTTACAAAAAAAAAAAACCCAAAAAAACAAAAAAACACAGGGATGTGCAAAAAACGAGCGCACACGCTCTGACATAAAACAATCATCACGCATCACATATATACACATCAGGCCTGCCACTGTGCAAATGTTATTTTTCTCTATTTTCCTGCTGACGCTTTAATACACACTCGATTCCAGGAAGTCCCCCTGCGTATTAGTGTGTAGAAACAAGCAAGAGATGCGTGTGTGTGAGTTTACTGCGCAAGCAAGCAAAGCCATGACATTCCCAAGGTCCCATGCTCGAGAGACCACACTGATTACTGACGAGTTGCTGATCTGTGATGGCTAGCTGTAGGTGACCTCTTTGTGTCCGCTGCAAGCACTTCACAGAGTGAGCAGTCTGCACAGGGACACAACTGCAGCTCAAGGTCAGTGTCCTTCAATTTTCACAAACCATTTCCTCCAAGACTTCACAGAGAACGTTACGCTACAGTCTAAACACACTTGACACCTTCGGTTTCCCGATAACTGACGAATTACAAACGCAATTTAAAAAAAGCAATGGAGCGGATGGGAAATTGTAATTCAATTGCTTCAAATGGTCTAAAGAGCTACTTAAACACTATGAGCAATGCACTTTATTGCTTTATTTGCGTACTTTGAGGTAACACAACGAAGCCTGCAAGTGGTTAACACTTTTCTGAAGCGGTAGTCATTTATAAGGTTCTAGTTGCTCTCCGCTGGTCTAATGCTTGTTAATTTTCATGTAAAAATCAATAGTCTAAGCAGCTGTAAGAAATAAATCAGTTATACCAGATCAGAGGTCTGGTATAACTGACTGATCCTGTTTGCTGAACTGAATGCTGTTTGGAAAGGTGCTGTGATTGACTGGCTGTGGTTTATGTGGTTCTGAGTACTCGTTTGAGATAAGAGAGCCCACCTATTATAGGATCAGGCAATCGCAGTGTCATCTTGAGCAGGGCTATAAACATGGACAGGTCATAATCGTAAATGGAGTCTGTGAAGAAAGGTGCCTCAGTGGGTCACCTTTTTCTGGTGGGTTCCATTTCTTTCTTTTCTTGTCTGTTTCAGTCCATCTCTCGTAACAGACGAAATCTTGTAAGATCAAGCACAACGGCATGAAGGCTGAGCAATATATTGAATTTTTGAAATATATTTGTGATGATTTTGTTTGATATATAAAAAGCTCTGGCCGTTAAGTCAGAGCTTTACACAAGTCTATAAGCTTTACGTTAAGTCTGAAAATACTATGCTAGTATGGACTGTATGGCTGTCCATTCTTCTTGATTTGCACACAGAGAAAGACAAAAGAAAAATATAAACACAACAGTGCACAATTCACACACTGTAGTTAAATTTCCTCCCACTACAGTCTGTATGGTTCTGTAAGATTTACTGCCTGTATTATCACAGTACTGTTTGAGACTCCACTTGTTTAATAACCTATACTTATGTAGCACACACAAACTGTGAAAGGTGAAAAGCATTGTGAAGGTCTCTTGCATGCTGAGACCAGTCATATGCCTACAGGTGAGCATGTGTAAGAGAGAAAGAGAACAAGATAAAGTGTCAAGGGAATCTATTGAAACAGTACAGTCAGTGACAGAAATATGGGAAATAGCGGAGGGAAAACACCACCCCATATGGTACTTTGTAAAGACAGCTAGTTGCATGTAATATTGGTCAGTTCACATGCTGCCAATGAAAACACCAAGGAAAGTGATGGCAACAGACTACATCCTTCTTTTTATGTGTTAGGGGTGGGAAACAGTGGAGACTTGGCGATACAATATGATAAGGCATGTCAATTTTGCGGGATTACTTTTGGGAAAAAGTTGTCCTGAATATAT